TTATCTTTTATAGTGAATTTGTGAAAATGTTTAAAATTACTAAATAGTAATTTCATAGTTAAAATAATAATGATCACTTAAATTATAAAATAGAAATTTGAATTAAAGTTTTAGTGATGCCAAGCTGTCAGTATATCGTAAGCATACTCGTATAGCATAAGCATATTTACTGGTATAGGATTTACGTTTAGTTTCATTATTCTTCAAGGTATATCCGTCATTCTATTAATCCCTGTTATGACATTATTTAATTTACTATTGGTTTATCAATTTCCATTTCATCTATACAAGGATTACCGCTATACTTTTTCTATGGCATCCGCAATAGTTGGCAAGGACGAATGATTTCTGAACCGGCAGAATGTAGTATTCAAATTCAAGACTAATTCAAAACGATTCTATCTATCAGAATTTATGATGTAGTTGATTGATCTTCAAGACGGTTTTCAGCGCATATTCCTAACCTAAAGTCCGCATAACATACGATATTGTAAATCAGTATGCAACAGCTATAGAGGCAATTTATAAGGTAACCTATTTGCAGTCCAACCCATGATAAGTAATTGAGTTAAATTTCATTTTTTGATGGCTTTTCAATTCGCAATATCAAAATGGGGCAAAGCTTAAATTAAGAAGACAGCTATGATATCTACTGCAAGAATTGAAATAGAGTAAAGAAGAATTTTGTTTGCAATGATAAGGACTGTATACAGTACATCATGCTACTCAGTCTCAAACTGGTTATTAATTATATGTGTCGATTAAAGGATAAAGAAAAAAATTGATATTATTTGACGGTGCCGCAAGGTGTATATCATCACTACTATTTCGATACGATGGCTATAGCTATATAGCTATATTTCAACATTTATTGAAATTATGGTGATGATTAATGTCTATATATCATATATGATTGAGTAGTAAAGAGTGTTGGATTAACAAGTAGATGATACATAAAAATGTCTAAAGAGAGTGAGGGATTGCCGCACTCTTCAAGTTGATTTTATTTTGTAATTGATATCACCTTGCTAGACCATTTCCAATTTTCTACATGCTTTGCCTAATATGCTTCTATTCTTGTATATTTGTAACGCGATTAACATGAAAAGAGGTATTGAATTACAATTTTTTTTAACTTTCTCTGTATATCGAATGAATTATGTCATTGCCATTGACATAGTTGTAATAGGTAAATGAATGTACTTAATTTGCATCGTACCTCAATCGATGATGCTACCAGGCGATTTGAGAAGGCTCAGTTTTAGTACCCTTTTGCCCATTCAGTTTGGATACGTGATCGTACAGTATGTTGTGAGTGATAAAATATTCTCAATCTAAAAGATCACCCCTCCCTCTACTTAGCGATTTTAATCATTGAATGTAATATACAATCAATCACCGAGCTGTTCACTTTAAAAGTAAGGCCATGTGTGGATGATCGTGAGTTTATCGATATAGTTATAGTTTGTACATAGTCAACTATTCAATATCCTACTCCAATCAGTGTATCTTTAAGTGGCTATTAGAAGGTTTAGAATCTTCATCCTACAGTCCAATTACACATGTAATTGGATTGCTAGGGTCGACTGAATATACCAATTTCAATCCACCATTTCGACCATTTTCAATTTACTGTGTATATTCTCGTACGTGGTGTCTATCAATCTGTTGCATATTGAGTGTATATTCTGTATTATTTCTTTATTATAAAAGACCAATAAATAATTTTAATGATAGTTAATCCTTTTTGTACCCTGGTAATATCTACCTGTCTACAGTATATTGCATTACTTAAGTTAGATGGTCTAATTGGATGAATAAATGGGCAAAAAGAGCGCCGGTAGGCTTTCGAGTTGTCAACACGTATATTCTGTATTATCTCTATATTATAAAAGACCAATAAATAATTTCAAAGATAGTTAATCCTTTTTGTAGCCTGGTCATATCTACCTGTCTACAGTATATTGCATTACTTAAGTTAGATGGTCTAATTGGATGAATAAATGGGCAAAAAGAGCGCCGGTAGGCTTTGGAGTTGTCAACACTTTCTTACTCCGACTCTGAGAATAGTATGGGCGAAGTTTAGGCTCCATTCATATCGTTGGGTATATGATATTGACTGAAAACTCTCAATTGGATAGTGGAACGTATGATTCCTACCTACTATTCCTAACTAATACCGTCTGTAATATGCAGTACTACTGTATATGGTAAGACCTTAGTTTACCATTCTACAGTATGCTGTATGCCGTACTAAGTGATGGGAATAGAATAGAATACAGTACTATCAAAATTGTTCAATGTTACTGATAATAATTCTAATTTATAGCATTATCACTTTAAGCCATTTCTCGCTGCCAAAGTATGATAGAAACAATGTCATCCAGTCCAATAAGTGTGGCGACATTTTTAAACATTTTCAACAGTACAGTAGACTGTCAGTAGTCAACCAGACATGGACCTCTCAATCCAATTGTCCACCGTCCGTCCTTTCCAGTCGCGGAAAGGAGGGATGGACGATGGACACAATTTTGGATTGTAAATGATACAAACGACTCCGACAAGTCAGTGACGGTGAGAGCGCTCACTGCATCGTACAGTATACTGTATACTAAACTATAGTGTTATTCAGAAAGAGAGACGATCAACGACTTTCGTTGGCAAAAATGTACAAGCTGACTCTTTCTGTGGTCATTTTGAACTGTTATCTGCATGTAAAATCGTAGTCAGTCCTGTTGACGGCTACGCTCACAAGTAGCCACCATGGAGTTGGTTACGCGCAGTACGCTGTATGGTTCTAGTCTACCAATGTAGGGGGATATGACCAGTACCATATTAGTCATCCTGCACCGCCGTTTCTTCAATGAAGATTGTTGGACAGTCCCTCTGTCTTCCTTTCCAGTAGTCCGTAGCACCCCTAAACGTGCCTGAAGGCTGAAGGTACGTTCACACGATGAACTTTTTGCATGAGACAGCGATGACTCAAACCAACTTCAGTGAAGCGAGCACGTGCAGGTACGTTGCTACCAGTGTCCTATCAGGAAAAAGTTGATGATATGAAAGTAGCTTTCAAAAAAGTCAACCCGAAACCCGACTGGAGGAAGGGATTCGGGTTAATTAATTCTGTGTCGCTACAGTGTTTGTATAGCGATTGCATCCATTTCGGGTTAGAAAATCAACAATTTGATCGGGTTCGGGTAACGTTTTGACTCCGTTGAAGGACTGTCGTTGCTCGCGTTTTTACTGTAGCACTGTACAGTACAGTGTACAGTACTGTACAGTAATGTAGTAAGAAAATCTTCTCATCAAACAAGACAGTGGCATTTACTGCTTTACCGCGCTTTACCGCCGCATTTAGTATGAGCACAAATTTCGATGACTTGGTATTGCATTGTACTGTACAGTACTGTACAGTACTGTAGATCATTCATAAATGGGGATATAACGGTCAGTGATACTTTCATCATTTATGGACTTAAGAGCAAGTTTAACTTTCTAACTTTACCAGATTCAGATATTTCAGAATCTCTCCATCAACCTCATATATCATTCTATTATAGCTTTACTGTATTTTTAAAGAAAAATATGGCCCGAAAGTGACAAAATGTTATGAAACAGCCTGTATAGTCCAGTGTGCAGTACAGTACAGTACAGTACTGTACACTGTACTCTAGAGACCTACAGTACAGTACTCTATTGTATTGTGCAAGTCAGGGTCCGGACCGGATCGGACTAGACCATGAAAACCTGCGGACCCCAATGCACAATTGCTCACGTTGCAGTGCTGTACTGTACAATGTACACCGTACCTTACATCGTAAATTACAGTACACTGTATCGTAAAGAAGAAAAGCTTGTACTGTACTGTACGTAGAGTAGGTGACGTAACAAGCGTGACTTTCAAATGTACGTACAAGAAGCGGCGATTTTTTGCTGTGTCATTGCGTTGGCCGGCTCAGATCCTGTTGACTCCATCATACCATAGTATTGGCTGTTTCTGACCTATCCTGAGTGATTTCTATGCATTTGTGGGCGTTGGTGATCCACTGGCTATACTGTACACTACACAGTATAGGATAGTCCACCATCAAAACTACAGTACTGTACTGTAGTCTACAGTGCAACTCTTGGCTGACGTCGGTTAGTACTCGCTGATGACACTGCATTTTTAACTGAAACTCTCATAGTGTAGCTTGCAGCGTGCAGTACGATCAATACTGGTCGACTATACTCAGGCTATGTTTTAAGACCCTCTTTGCTAGCTGCAGCAAGGTGTGCCCAGGCCAGTCCTGACTAGTCTTGACAATCCTATAGTACACCACACTACTGCAGAATACTGTTTCAGGCCACCATCACGATCAGCTGGCAGAACAAAGCCCCTCCAAGCCATGACCACTTGACCAGGTCCAATCACCATACCCAAAGCAACCGCGTCAAGGGTATTTAAACCCCCGGTTGACCTCATCGCCGATGCAACCCGGCATCTCGTTACTACGAGTTACGGAAAGGAGTTGATCAAGATCATCATCGCCAACTCTTTCTCCATAACTGCTGAAGATTGCTAGCGTAAATTCAGCGGTTGCATTGGTAGTGGGCAATCAACGCTGAATTCGTGTATATCGATCATTGGATAGTGGTAGAGGAAGCGATTGCATCAATATCCAAATCATTACTGCAACATGTCCAATAGGAGAAGTCATAGTCGTATTGCAGCCCGCAATCCAATCGATCGAGATCCACTCCCTTATGATCAACCAGTTGGTCGACAAGTGGATTTCTCTAATGGAAATGCTCATCGATTACAAGACGATCATGATGATGATATTGTAATTGTCAATCTACAGTCCAATTTATTAACCAAGTTGCCAAAGCAATTGACGACGTTAACGCATCTACGCCATTTAGATTTATCAAGCAATCAATTTCGACAAGTGCCAGTTGAGTTAACCCATTTAATTTCATTGACCAACTTGACGTTAAATGACAATTTCCTCACCGATCTACCCAAAGAGTTTGATCAATTAATCAACTTGGAGAAGCTCTATCTGAGTGGTAACCAATTTAAAACATTTCCATCGCAAATATGCCATTTAACCAGATTGAGAACGCTCTATTTTGGTGGTAATCGACTGGAGACGGTACCTCAAAGTATAATCAATTTAAAGCGGTAAGAAGCAAATGTGCATGCCATCTCAAGTTCTTCATCACTTTTGACCAATAGTCCAATGCAATCGATCCAACAGCTGTACATCATCAATTGGACAAGAAACAATTGCCTTTCTTGACAATTTACCCCTAACATCACTGTAGCTGAAGAGACATGCTTCAATGATAATGATCAATATAACGTATTGCGTGCCTATTCGATATTTCTACATTTCAATCAACGAATGATATCATCATCACATTAGTAATCGATAGAACATTAGCCGGCTAAACCTCCTCCAAAGGATACAGCACAATTTGAACTCCAGCAACTTTTTCTTTCCCTCTACTGTATATTTATATTAGGCTTGCTGTGACGATGACGATTTTTTAGATCGAGCAGTACATATAGACAGTACTTCTTCGTCCTATATCGATCAATAACAACCATTTTTTTTTTTTATCAAGGCGACAAACTACTATATCAACCTGCGCTATCATTCACAGAGAGATACGGTATTTTTTTTGCTATGCTTGCTTAACCGTAAATCCCCTACCATTCTAACCTTGAGTTTGTCATAATCGGTGCAATACATGACGATACCTTCTAGTGATGATGGTCCTGGCTACCGTACCTTCACGAAAGTGAATCCATTTCTAACTGTACTATCGACGAGTATTTCAATGCGATCCATATCCGTTAATTTTCTTTTTTGATGTTACTGGTCTTGCTTCTCAAATCAATCATCATTTTTGGCGTATGGGAACAATCATGGATAGCTATTTATCTACGACATGGGAGTCTGATTTCCATCATGAACATTTGTTCCCAAAATTCTGCCCTAGCTCTGATGGAGTTAAATTTAAAAATTATCAGGGATAAATCGATTTTGATAATATTACTACAGTATGTAGGAGACTAAAGAATAACTTGGCTGATATAGCTATCATCAAACAGCTAGTATCGATTTCTTAAATAAAAGCTCAAACCCACTTTCTAATCATGCATTGTAAATCCATTTCGGTTTTCTACTTTTTAAACAATTGTTTGCCAAGTATTCCGTATTTGCTAACCCTAATAAGGACTCCAAGATACTATCATGACATTTGTATTTTTACTACGCTGCGCAATGCATATTCAGATGCTAAGAAATGGGTGGTAGTCTTTCATTCCCATTATCATTTTGATCAGATAGAACCGAAATGGATGCTACCTATAATCAATGTTGACCAACTATTGTCAACGTGAGTAATCTTCATTAACATAACATTGCAAGTTTGCGTGCTGCGTTAATATGGAGTAGATCGAAAACATGCCATTATTTGTTGATTGTTCACGAAATAATTATTGTTATTGTAGTCTTGTTGATTACTCCGTCCTTGCATAAGGTTCGTTATAATTCGAAATATTGTCAAATATAACGTTATGAATGCCGATGTCGGCTGAATTAGGTAACTCAATCTTGAATTTATTTTTACTTACCTGCCACAATTGATCGCCAAAGGCGATGAATTACTATTTGCAACGGAGATACCAATGACAATTCATATTGCCCCTAATCGTTAGTACTGCACAGACTAAAGCCGAGTTAATTGGATATCTTTCGGGGATGATGGAACCTACGGTTTACAGTTGCTAGTCACGGATCATAAAATTCCTATCCTTAATGTATCATTAGTAATAATACGTCAATAACCTTAGCTATGCTTACATAGTCGAACGTGCATGTTTCCGTAGTTATTCAAGTTATTTATAGATATTTTTCTTGGCTTTTTGCATTTTAGATTGGAAATTCTCTACTTAGGTGGCAATCAATTGACTCAAGTACCAGCTGAATTGGGCGCCTTGGATTGCTTGCGCGCTCTAATGTTGTGCGACAATAAATTAAAAATTATACCTGTAGCCTTGTCTAAGTTAACCAAGCTAAGATCACTTAGCTTGCATAATAATCAATTGACCACTCTACCGGTTGAAATTATCCATTTAGTCCACTTATCGGATTTAAGCTTACGAAATAATCCATTGGTTTTTCAATTTATCCAAGAGTTGGAGTATGAAGTTCCAACTCTCAAGGAATTAAGTGGTCGAATTATTCGTAACTCCAAAATTCCGTATCGTCAGCTACCACTACCGCAATGTTTAGTTAAATTTTTAGATTCTGCTCGACGTTGTCCGAAATGCCGTGGTGTTTATTTTGATACAAGAGTTAAAGAAGTAAAATTTGCTGATTTTTGTGGAAAGTACCGTTTACCGCTACTGAGATATTTATGCTCGCCACCATGTCAATCTGGCAATTCAAGCGATTATAGTAGCGAGGAAGAAGAAGCAGCTCAAAGGCAGAAAATGCAAAGAGTCTTGTTAGGCTACCGCTAGATAGAACTGCTTTGGTACCGACAATTATCAAGAGATCGCTGCCTAGAAGAGCGTCTTCCTATACCTCTGTAGTTTTATTGAATTGAATTGATCCTAATAACATTGTATATACAGTGTATACAAAATTAAAATTGTATGGTTGGAATAACTGACATCAAGCCATCAAATGGTGGACGGTGAAATCCAACCACAGGAGACCATTTTACTTAGTAAATTGTAACCCAAATTTCTCAAAATATAATGGTACTCAAATGAAGGCAATTTAAAATTGTCACTTTATACCATAGATCTCAAGAAACCGATAGGTAGAAACTGGACTGTAGCTAGTTGCATTCTTATTTATTCTATCTTTATTCCATAATAGTTACATAACCAATTTGACTTAAATGCGTATTTGTATGCTTATGGGTAGAGAAGTATACGTGACGTTACTATATTGTATTGATTCATTTAACCCAAAGGGTTGAAAATTAGAATGTTTCATTTCTACCGATGATAATAATTTACTGGCTGTATCAACTTTGTTATTTGTTAAATAATCATGGATGTCCATAAAGAATTTTTGAATTCAGATGTAACATTAGATGTCAGATTGTTATTTCTTAATTATGATTTGAATAAAGGAATCTATATTTTGCGATACTATTTCATGTCTTCTCCTCTAATTTTAAGAACTGGAGTAATGATTTTGTGAATATTAAATTCAAAATTCATGAATATACAAAGTCTTCTGAATGGACAATCTGATTATAAATATCCTAACTTCGGTACAGAAGACAAATTTTGGAACCTTTCTATATACTACTCGATAAATGATCTGCAAAAACCAGCGATTGTTATATGCTGTAGCGTGTAGAAGAAAGCTACTCAACTCCGTTAGTTAGGATCATTTAAAAATAATTACTGAAGTTAAATTACGATGTCAAAGTTTCTAAACATTGGATTCATACGAATTTAGTACTCCTAGCATACGAATAATGAATTATATATATACACGTATATGTACTCATATACAATTCTAGAGAGCAGATCGAATCATGAAAACATCGGAACTTAACAACAGGGTTAGTGGGCTATGATTACCTGTTGATTTCGCCTTCCTTCTATTTGTAACTTTTGGTCTAGATAAATAAATAACGATATTTCCTCAGTGTTTTCATTTCTTAGTGAAAAACAACTGAAAATGGATGTGTAATGGTGATACATAAAGTATGTTAAGGAAGCTTAACTATAGCTACATGTAAATTAAATCTCAGAGCCTAAGAAAATTATATCGATTAATTATTGAATATAGAGATATTCATTCCAACCTTGATAAGAATCAACATCTTATCCATTAAAGTTGCATCATAAGCGAAGTGACTATACAGTAATTAGTGTATTTTATCATATAAGGTTTCTTTTAGGCTACTTACTAGACACGGACATCTAACCTTGTAGATAATAATGCCAACTAAAACCTCTTACATTTGCTTATTCAATGCTACGAATATCATCTATTTCATTTTTTAGGAAGACAAGGTAACGTATATCCTTACAAAATCATTTCCTAACCGCTCTGAATGAGGGATAAGATAATGTTAATAAGGGAAAGTTTCAATACATTTCCATATGAGATAGATCTCGTTCGATTTACTATTTTTATTCAAGTAAGCCCTCCATCCATTTGGTCTACCGTAAGCCCGTTATTTAGCATCACAGCAATTTACTGTAACCGATAGAATAGCGATCACAGCATATTGCTGACAAGGTTGATTTAATTGACATAATTTTGAAAATTGTAGGCCCATTGAATGCCTGCATTTCATGGTTTAATAGCTAAAGTTCGAAGTAAAGGCAATCAGTTGAGTAGTATTAATGGCAGTACTGCGTATACATTGAACTTTGTATCTAACTTAGTGCGACAAGGTCTTAAAATACAAAAAATCAAATCTTGGAAAAATGAAAAAATTTTTCTACGATCAGCCATGAACTAGCAAAATGCTAACTAAACGTAGCTAATGTAAGATAAAAATTCGACTATATTTTGCGTCTTCTTTACAATCAGATCATTGCAATAGATGCATTTCAGTATATAAGAATTGGCACTTTGGTAAAAATTTGTGTATTTAAATATCACAATGACAGTGATCTATCATAATTAGATTGCTAAAAATTTGAAGCATTAGCTACAATCACTTAATTAATATAAGTAGTAAAATGATTCTTTTTATTAGAAATCTTATTATCTATTTCTCAAATTTCTATAAGTATTATTTAAATCTACTTCCTTAACTAATGAAACCAGCGAAACTATAAACCGTAACGATATTCCTCGTGATGTTAAAATAAATTGCAAAAGAAGCAGAGATTAATCTTTTATTATTCCTAGATCACATTTAAATTCTCTTCTACTCCCAATCAGACTCGCTGATTTAACGAAGAAAATTCTTTTTAGGCTTCTATTCTTTTAAAACAAGGGTCCAAAAATTAATATTCCTTTCTTTCACCGTTGACGTCTTTCTTCCAATCTTAACAGTGATTTTGCTTATTTTTCCTTTATTGATTACTACAAATGTAAGCCTATCTGGTGTTGTATGAGGTTGACTGCCTAAAACTATATTTTTTACGCATTTATGATTCAAAAGCTTATAAATTCGCCAGTTTATTACATTATACAGTATTACAATAACCATATTCTAATTTCCGTTTCCTTGTCAATGAGATTATAACCTCTAGAATTTTTTACTTTATTCAATGCCATTAGAATAAGAGCTACGAGAATCACCCATGCCTCATCATCTATCCCTGATATATCGCTGTCATTTTATCTCTAAAAATATTTTAAGCCTATGCCACGGCAGCCTTTTAACCCGTCTTTAATTGTAACGATTTGCATTTACTGAAACATAAAGCTTCGGCGACAGAAAATTTGAAAATTTATTCCCTCTAATATTATTTACGTGTTGAATTACATCTAAACATCATGCAATACTGGAATTAAAAATATTCACCATTAATAACACAGATGAAATTATAGACTTTAGCGTTTCATCGGTTACGGCATATCGCTATGGTTATAAAGTGGTTAAACATCAGACGTAATAAATCCATCTTCATTAATATAAGATAATGTCCTTGTTCTACCATTTACAGGCTGCTGCTGATCATTTGATCGAGTATAAGATGATGCCTCCTGATCACTCGGATTAGCCTCTGATGATTGCTGCAGATTATTTGCAGTAGTATCAGATAATTGCTGCTGGTCGCTTGGATTAGTATTAGATAGTTCTTTCTTATCTTCTACAGCAACCTTTTGCTCTTCCTCATCAAATACTTGTTCTGAATTGTTACTTCTTATATGATCAAAACAATCATCGTCATCTGTAAAATTGCCATCATGTGAAGTAGTTTGTTCATTATCGGTTGTCATTTGGGCTTCTTCATCTGTCTCTTCTTGTACATCATCATTGCCATCTTTGGAATCGATGACTATAATTTTATTTAGTAGGTCTTCATTCCTTAGTAAGCTATACCTATCTGGCACTGAGGGTTCTTTTTCATCATCGCTGACCCGCAGTATTACCGGTGCAACTTCTTCTGAAAACGAAATATTACTTTCACTATGTCTAGAAAAGCTATTGGATTCAATAACAGCAACAACTTCTTGTGTTGGTTGCGAGAAAAGATCTTTCATCTCAATGCTTTCACCTTCTTGGTTTTGATCATTATTTGCAGTGAGTACAGTTTGAGCTTCAGCTATAGGCTGATCGGTGGATTGTTGATGACTAGATTCCTCTTTAACAGTAGAAGAGGATAATGATGGACCTTCTTGACTATTTTGATATGAATTAATGACCGAGGTTTGCGTTCCACCTAATGTTATTGATGATATTTTACAATAGTGCTTTTTAGGTATATAAAATTTACTCTCCTCTCCTCTTGATTTTCTTGTTTGTAAGATTTTAGTTTTTAATTTATCGATCTCAGCGTCTTGCTATAGAAGAGTAAAAGATTTTATTAATAATCTAATCTGGATTACTAGCATAATAATACTGAGTATATTTATTCTATAAATCTGTAATAAAATACTTTCAAGGCATCAGAACCTCTATGATGGAATGTAGAACTATTCTGTTAAGATCTATATCTACTTCTAAATGTATTCCTTTAATTATCATTAATCTAAGTTAGTACCGCATTCAGACGTTGCTGTAAGCTAATATTCTCAATGCCAAGTGATATAATTTTATTCGCTTCAGATCGATCGCTATTGGCAAATCCAGCAACTTCGGTGATGGTTAATGATCGATATTTGCAAACTGCAATCATCTACAGGTGATAAAATCATGATGTTCAGCTTTTAGAAATACAGAATCGATCGATTCAGGTAATAAATTTACACAAAGTATTGGATATATTACATAATCTACTCACAGCAGGAACAAAAATAATTAAGACAGCACTGGTGGAAACATAAATAATGGCTAAACTCAAGATGGCAAAATTGACATCAGGACTGTTTAGGCCAGCAAAAAATCCAATTGGTGCTGCAGCAACGTATAATGCATAATTGACAGCACTAATGCTAATCCATTTAGCATCAGTTAAGATAACTGAGGATATTTGATGGGTCTCTTTGGCTAAATATAGCCCACATAAAACTAATAAAGTAAAATAGCCGTAAATCGATCCCAAAAAGTATTGATAAGACTGGCAGCTACAAGCCAAGCGATGTGAAAGTATTTCATTACCATCGTCATCCTATTATACATGAGAGAATTTTTGAATTAAATTAGTTAAAGTCAGTTAAAGATTAAGTAAATCATCTATAAAATGTTACAGATTTTCTTTTCAGGGATAAATAATAATTATTCTCTTTTATTAAACAAATGCATTATATCCTACGGACTATACGAATTCGCTTATAATTTACTAAACCGTAAAGACCTATAGCACGTCAAAATAACATGAAATACTGTTAAACCAAGACAATAATATCTCAAAAAAATGGAAAAATCAGTTTTTATCTCATTGAATAGTTCATTATTTCATTATATTCTAATAATCTTCTGGACTATATTAAATATCGAATTTCCTGTTGTACACAACTTTACACGATACTGAAGTCCTCTATTTTATCATATCATAATAGTCCTCAAGTTATAATGCTAAAGCATTAAAATCTGTCTAATTCTTATTACAACATACAAAAAATAAGTCTTCACTCACGAAATAGTTTATACTGCTGTCTCTGAAGAAATTATACTGATATACAACTATAAATTTTTTAAGATAATATACACATTTGGAGGTATATGGCACCAAGAATAAAGTAAATCTGATTACAGGTAAATGAGAAATAGAAGATATGATTATATGCATAATATTAAATGAACTAACCCTAATTTTTCCTATTCTGTCTTGTATATGAACGGGATCTACGATATTCCATAGCAGCAGTATAGCTGCAGGAATAGCTATAATAACAGTCATCACTATCGCCATGGCAACTTCGTACGTGTCCTAAGTTTTAGAATTGGATAAAATAGACTATTTACGATAATGTTAGTATAGAAAGTAATGCTGACGATCGCTATCATTATAAGATTCAAATAGCGTATGCCCTCGTTATTTTGTCATGACATCCTATACTGCCAGTGACGGATCGATTGACACTTTATTTTGTATTTTTGGGAATGAAGTCAAGAAGAATAAAATAAGATTACCTTTCCAGCTCGAACAATATTAGTTACCACTGCATAGGTTCGCCACATTTTAGCTACCATAACAGAGTAGGGTATTATTGCACCCATCAACAAGACCCAATATCGTAACTAAAAGAAAACAGTTGTAGCTATTAGTATAGACTGACGCATTTGCAAATTTATTGTTCCTCGTCAACTTAAGCAACACTTAAATCTGTTATATCTTCCGTTACAAAATCGTGAACGTTTTTACCGTAAAAATGTTCAACACAAACGATTATAACTAGAACATCTAAATCATTGTGGAGGTAGAGTAGTCAAGATAATCGTGAAAATTAAGTAAGGGGACCAGGGGAGTATACTGTATTCATGACATTGGAGCTGGAAAATAAGTTGCATTAAGTAATTTTATCTTACCAAGCACAGCATATTGAGAAAATTACTGGATCTATCGCCAAAGTAATTAATTTCCAATAGGGGAATGGTAGCATAACTGATGAGAATACCAAAGAGTAAAACATTATTGATTCCAGGATTTGTTAATCTAATGTACCTGCAGCAACAGATTAATTGGTTAGCTATTATAATTACCCAAGCTCTTGATAATGCTTATTTCACAGTCATTTTAGCAGCTAGTCACCAGTTTATATATAACTTACCTATGATTCTGAAAGATTGTATTAACTAGTAAGAAAAATAAAGTGATACCAGCTGCAGACCCTGCTGCAAGACACGTGCCAAAATAGAGATTAAATCCTACCATTCTTTTTCTAGTAATTTGGGCTGGTTTATCTGCAGGTGGTTTCCCTCCTAGATATTAATGTAAAAGCAAATTGCACAGGATAAGGTGTAGCCGCATCAAAAACTGCCTGACTTGTATTATTTACTTTACCTTGCCATTTAAATGGAGTATAGCCATTGGTGGTAATTTGATTCTCCATATCATTATAGTAGCCAACAATAACACTTTTATTATTCTGCATTTGTCCTATCATAACTAAGCCTTTACGATCGCCATCGTTAGTAAATCCTACAGGACCCTATAAAAAGATCAAATAAGGACATTGTTCCGAAATTCAAGGAAGCACTTTCAGTAACTGCTAAAGCACTTTACAGATTAACCGCTCTATTATGTGAGATTCAGATTTTAAAATACAAACAGATTTTATTTAAATTGACAATCAGTCTAACCGATAATCCGGTAAAGGAAATTGTTTGCATATATTCCATCAATTTTCGACGAATATCTTGACGATTGTAATTAAATGTTTGCAAAATATCTTCTCCATTATTTTTCATATAAAATTGGCGAGTTGTATTCAATGCTAGTGCTGCTGCCCAGATACTATCATAGCCATAAGGAATGCGATTTTGGAGATTCTCGGCCTTGGTTACATCGAGCACGCGTTTAGACAGCTGAGAAACTTTCTAAGATTTTTTAATTAATAATGTAAGCAGCAAATCACCAATTACTATTATTATCATTAAGCTGTACGTATTCAATATTATATGCGTATTAATATTAAAGCTCATTCATTGAGCATTTAAGTTTGCAAAGTAAATAAGCTCATAAAATTCGTATTTATAACGTAACCACAAAAACTGAACGATTTCAATGATTCTAATTATTCCTGGAGATCATTGAATTAGGGATAACATCGATAAACATAGATAAGCAAAGATACACGATAGATTATTTTAATTTCGTACTAGAGTTCTGATATTTAAAAATCATATAGGTAGAAATAATTTAGTCTTAACACACCGTTCCTGTAATGGTAAGCGTATCGAAAGGACTAACGGGGTGATATTCTAGGACGATAACTCCTTCCATTGCCTTAGATAACTGCGAATCTGTACAATTATGAGGAGTTCGCTCTTCAGATTTATGTATAATATATTTATGCGGTGTAAATAGCCAAGCGTAATTTTTCCCATATAAACCATATCGGTAAATCTAGAATACAAAAAATTGGTGGTAAATCTAGTAGCTTTGATGATTTAATATCAATTTAGTTAATATTAAATTAAGATAAATTAGATATAGCAGGATAAAATAAGATATTTATAAGATAAAATATTTTTAAGCAACCAGAAATATTGAAACCTCTGAAATAAATACTGCAATAAGATATAGGTGCCATAAAAGATCAATAAATCGGCTTAATGTTTACTCAATTTTTATATATTTAAAAGCTCATCGTATATTTACTGCGCATAAGATAGTTTGTTGAGTATGGTCATCAAAATGGGCCAAGATTATCCTAGATCCTGACGCCTAAATTAATTAGCACGAGAATTAAAAGTACAAGCAATATTAAATAATATAGGTGATGGACTTTAATATCTTTATACGGAACCATCGTAATTAAATTTCGACTTCAATCTACTTAAATGCATCTATAAGACATTTACTTTTAATTGTTGGAAACTTGCATCAGCATCTTTACCGAAAGTAACGAAATCTTGTACATGAATATTGTTTGTCGTTAATGTATATCGAAAGCGATCGGCAACCTAAATCCGTAAAGCAAGATATTATTAAGTTGAGCATGAAGTTGATCAAGTCCTACTAGATGTTGTCAAGCTACTTATTTCACTTACAGTTTGATCATACTGTTCTTGTAAAATACTAACTCTTGTCCAGTTGAATTGCCGCAGAATAGCCAGATAGGCTCTGTAGTATAATGAATCGGTAGGTATAGTCCGAAAGAAGTAATTGTAATGAAGGCGATTGGACAGTGATGGCGTAGTAGAGCCATAAGAAACCTAAATTATGTAGATAAGCATGAAAATACTACAAAAATTTCATCGTTAACTAATCTTTTAAACTTCTATCGAAACTTTGCCTTTGATCTCAATTCCAAAAGTCGTCTAAATAGACTTATTTATACAATACTGGCTAGCTCCTAATGCCTATAAATCTCGTCATAAAAAGCTGATGTTGTGTAAAACCTATACACTAGTGAAAATAAATGGTACAAGATATCGAAAAGACGTTTTAAAGTACTGTATAGCACTAAAAGTGTATAAATTCTATCCCTATTAAAGCAGACTCAGATATCACTTTGAAGTCTAAAAGTTTAAAGCTTAAAGTTTATGACCTCTTAATTCAATCAAGGTTACGTCGAGTGAAATATTAGCGCATTTAATATATACAGCCGTTACGCCATTTGTACCACAATAACTACTGTACAATATATCGCTATTAAAGATTGCGCTTACTGTTAACAGATTCCAAAATTTGGATACGGTGGCAATTTGTTGAGTAACTTTATCGCAGTCGGCACCAATTAGCATAAAACATGGCTGTTCGTTGGGTTGTACTATTTCAAAGAGTTCTTTGGTAGCATAGCCAATGTTACACTATCCAATATGACACAGAAAAAGTAGTAATCATTATTCAAAAGTCTATATCTAACGAAGCAATTATGATTGAATATTTCAGTAAAAATTTAAATTATTTTCAATTCATTTTACTGAAAATGGAAGATTGCATCAAAAAGAAATCAGATTACATGCATTTTTTTGTACGTCTTAAATAGCCAAGACTCAATTCCTTTGGTATTAAGACACATTCAAGCAAATATCATTTCAATCTAACGATTGCACCGGCATTTAATGCATACTGACGAACATTTCCTCCTACATTATAATTTTCTTTGGATGCTCACGAATATCAATTGCATTGAGAATGTAAACTGTGAAGTGATTAAGATTTCTGAGCAGTGACTAACAAATAGTACAAAACTACCTTGGCATTGCTTGAGATTACTTGTAAATTATCGCTTTATACTAATGATCAATTTTGTGGCTACGAATAATCTTAGACTAGCATCCTATAATTTCCATTACATAAACTTTTTCATAAAGACTACAAATATTCAAGGGATTCAAATCTTAAGTTATGAAATGCTTAAAGTTTCGTGAATTGATGTAATGACTTATGTCAGACTAATGACTGTAATTACAATTATATTTTATCAATCACTCTGTGGCGTAAGTCTAGCATTTTATATCATCAATTCATTCTTTTTCTTTGTAATTGTATTTATATTATGAGTTTATAAGCCCACTAAGTTTCTATAGCCTAGCTAAGAGTAGATATTAGTTTGCCAGATCTAATATTTATCTAGGCTAACTTGTACTATGATATGGTATAAACTTATCTAAATTCATTTGGACATTAACTCCTTTTATCATTTCCGTAAGAAATGCTTTATACATAATTAATTTAGGACATTCAACATCTATTCGTTAGCGTCAATTAGCTGATGTCATCTATGAAAGTTAGTTTGGATTATATTTTCAGTTGTTGGGGATGCTATGGCTTGTTATCACGGATTACAGATGAGTAGAACTTACTTTCGTGTCTTTAGTTAATAATTTTAATTGATGGCCAGGCAGAAGATCAGACCTGCCGTTAATATCCTGAACAGCTAATCGAATTCCCTGAAGAAGCTGTTCAACATCCCCAACACGGGCATCAACATCGGAATCATGGCTTTCTCCACCGATGTCTGTATCATGGACATCATATTCAGCTTGCGTTTGCGGTGCAAAAACGGCAAGTGGAATAGGCTTTTGGCCTAATGTAAGTTGGAGATGAATAAAAATTGTCCAGGATAAAATCAATGCCTTAAATACCCATTTAGATTGCAATTTCATCATGAAGATTGCCAGTAATTAAGTCAAGAGTAACAAAAACTGATTCTATCATGGAAATTCTACGAAAGGAAAGGATCGATGGATCGCTACCACACTACAATCAGTTTGCAGATAGAATTTCTTGCAACACTTGTGATGGAACGAATCAAGGAAGTAAACGCTTTATCAAAAAATCTATTAAACAAAGATATTAGTTTTGCATTATTCATATTTTAAAGGCTAGTTAGTCGCACCAACAATTGAAAGAGAATTTTTCTTACTTTTTAAGCAAAGTATTGCAGGCGATGAAATGAAAATAATTATTCCTTCAGAAAATTATTAAAGGTTCAATCATAGAATGATCCTTAATGAAATCATCCATATATCAGCACAGGCGTACCAAGCACCACCATGGTAGCATTCAATCCAATGAACAGAACATTAAAATCCTGCCGCCTAATTATCCTAGAAAATAATCATTTTCTAATGGTAATAAATTCCTTATTATTACTGTGAATATTGATTAGCATATTATTTTATACAGCAAGTCGCATTGATATAAGAAATTGCTACCACCCATTTTCTTGAATTAATTGGAAAACATTTCAAGCTGGGATTTCTTTGTGATTATTTATCTATACCAACTAGGATGATTATCGTTTACAAAATAAATTCATTCATCGGAACATCTTAAAATCGGCTACGATGTGAACTTATTGAAAAGATTAATATCTTACTCCAGGTGGATATGAAATATCTTCTAGTAGTGTCAGTAACACTATATGACTATAGTGTTAATTCGCATATTATCATCTTGTTTGTACTTTTTCAAGCATTAGATAGACCTATCTGAAGCATTTTAGCAATCTGATTACATGCGCATGCGATAGAAAATTTTATTAAATCAAACGTAAGTAGGTGAGAATGCTTAGATATAGAATAATATTCTCTAAATTTACTAAAGTCTTAGCGATCCTGAATGTATTAATGTTAGACAGATTTTCGGAACAGATTCGCATTTACATTGGAGATATGTTAACTTCAAGGGACGAAGTATTTATCGTAGAGAATACATTGGCTAAGTTTCGTATAATTCTGAAGCAGATATGTTTCAGATAAGCTATTTCCATAAGCATAGATAGGTTATCATACCTTAGATAGACGATAGCATTTAATCAATGTAAATGGATAAGACACAAGTCTGCATATAATAGGTCAAATTCCCTAATCCTACTATACACTAACTTCAAATCGACCTTTTTGATCAGACTCTATGTAAAGTAAATACTACAGGTGTTTGTATTGAACCCACTGAAATGGACCAGATATGGATCAGTATAGGATAAAGTGGCTTAGATTCTTGCTTGCCATACATATTCAATCTAGATCGGCTTCTCTCAGATTACGTATACATCCAATTGGTGATATATTATCATCAGCATAATTACGCGAGATATGGACCTTATTGACCTGATCTGATGAGAATTCATGCAGTGCTAAAGTATGATAAGATTTATTTCCGTTGCATTTGCTTCAGTAGAACAGATTGTTTACTGCAAGAGAAAAGGAGCAAGTTTTAATATCTTGTTAATTAAATAGCTAATAAAAAATCGATATAAGACTAATTAAGTGACATTCTACAACCAGATGTCCACATATTTATTTACTTCAGATAAGATTTCTTGATTAGATTACTTTACATGAACAAATTATACTTTTAAGTGTTAGAAAAGAGTAGCATTGCATCAGCGGAAATACATGAGGCATAGATAGGCTTAGAATGAACTCAGAATTTTTAAATTTGAAAGCAGATATGTTTTAGACAAGCCTTTTAATACCAGTATGATTACATGAAGAAGAACTGCAATAGAATGAGACATGTGCTAATGTAGGGCGAATTAAAGGAGATCTTCATAATCCTGAACATAAATTTACAACTAATAGATTTCGATTAAAAATGTATATTTAGCGATAGTACATAATTAGCTGAAGGAATAATGGGTAGATTGATTGAAAAAATTCATCGAAATAAGATAAATAAGTAAACTCTAGATAGACTAGCTTAGCCAGACTAAGTTCGTGCATTTCAAATAAAATTCAGCTCATCTTTACTGATCAAGTGTAGTAAATACGTATTAAGAAATTCTCAATTACATGGTTACGCTCAGTATTATTTATTTTTCTTGATTATTTATTATTATTACCAATTGAATTTTCTCGTGTTTATTTGATTATTTTTTAAGCTACCAATTAGAATAAAATAGTCTTCTTATCTGGGAGGTGATTACCGACTTGACATTTTGCGATCCTGTTGGAATCCGATAATATACTGTAAATACACAAATGCATTAGGGTTGATTTATTAGAAGCGAAGCTACATACCGCCAACCTTTGCTACCTTAGATTATGACATCATTGATTAGAATTTAAAATCTGCGTAATCACTAAGATTTGTCATCAAGTTCTATCAGTGATATAAATGGAAATCTATTCAGTTTTGTGGGCTTCCAAACAAATTTATAGTTTAATCTATACACCGTACGTATTAAAGACTCCAACATTATAATTTCCGTTACTAACTCATTATGCTCAATTAATACTCTTCATGATTATCCTGTACATACCAAAGCCTTCCAAATAATTGTTTATGAAATCGTAATCTTTTCATTCCTGATTGTAAACCCTTCGAATAGATAGACTGTCCCTTATTACCTTGACGGAAGCACTGACTATCATACATTACAGTAATACCATCTATTTCTTTCTTAATGAGTTTCATATAGGCAGCCAATTAATGTCTCATGCCTCATATTCCATGCATCACTAAACGGACCTGTTAAACTAATTGATCGTGAAGTCTAAAATTTATCTCATTATTATTCTGACATAAGCTGATAGTCTTATTTGCTATATGAATCAGCGGCAATTAGAGTGTTATAGATACTGCCTTTACGTACATTATTGATAATATCTTGAGGTCGGTTATATCTATCAGAACTATTACCATCATAAGCATTATCGCGAGACGGATAGTATCCAATTTATATCCAATTCAAGACAGAAACACTCAGTTAAATGAGTACGTTCTTTTGTATTATTACACAAAGAATTCAACTTCTTCGAATATTATACTTCTTATTTATTTTCAAATGCATTGAAATATGCTTAAAGTTAGAATCAAATGTAAAGGTCAAGAAAGAAAAAGAGGAAAAATCAAACGAAATTTTTATCTTATAGTAAATACCATCAGCTTAGTAGCTTTATTCGAAATTGGTACATGCCAATTTATTAACGGACATGCTACTGCTACTACAGTATACACGATTCTATAAATAGTCATTTTGTCGTATCCACAATTTCGTACCTTAAAGATGATAAGGCAAGAAATTATTTCTATTCTACAACATACTATTACAATATTAAGATAATAATCAAAACGAACCAAAGTAATCTGAGAAACATGCAAGAACATATTTTCAACAAACAACACTCAAGCCTAATTGGCAAGAACTGGTTTAGAATAGTCTGAATTAGGCAATAAATTTTCAATAAATGAGCATGAACTGAATCAAAATAGTAATTACGATATCGGTAAGGCGATTTTACCTTTACCATTAGTTTAATATAATTGCTACTCCTATACTTTCAGTAAAAAGGAGAATAGTCAGCAAATCTAATTAGTGGCCGTATCTTTTACAATACATCAAGCAATATTCAATTGGCAAAATTGGAAAGGAAGCCAAAAGAGAATAAACATTAAATCACATCAAACGGCAATACTAAATAATTTATATCGTATTCAGAAATTAATGCTATAATCAAGATATTAATAAATGAATAACCTATAATACAATTAAAAGGGTATCGGCCTATTGCATATCCATATAGGGTCATATTTAATAATTTTTAAACTCAAAAATTTAAATATGATGCTAAGACTACCCTATCTAATTCTTGCTCTAGGTAAATATTTCCTATCGTTCTATACCAGCTAGAAAAATTATACGTAGCTCTATCCACCATGTAGAATTAATGTCATTGAATAGTAATTCCATCGATGCCGCTGCAAACAGTTGAGTAAAAATCTCCAACTTGCGTATTTCATATTTTACGCTATTGAGAATTAAGCATATTTGATTTCTTTATATCTCCAAGATCTAGCTTCAATTTACACGAATCTATATGCATCCAACAGCCATGGATTAATAAATTTCCAATGTGGGTTAATAAGTTGTTCAATATCAGCTTTTAATTAATTTTAATATCTATCTTGGGTTAACTAAGAAATTTGAATTATAAATCTGATTTGTTTTAAGTTCAACAAGAGTGGAACAAGCTGAGAAAATAGTAATAAAATGTGCCAAATATGCATAAGCGTATAATGTATAATATGAATCTCTTGTTGGGTCATCAAGTACAAACTGAGCTAAAGAGACATTGCCAAATGTATAAAATGTAGCAATCTTTATTGATATATTACTTCTCCATCGAGATAAAATAAGCAGTGGAAATAAAGTTACACCAGTTACTTCCATGGGAATTGAATAATTCTTAATCTTTAATAGTCCGTTATAGGTGGAATATGTAGAAGAAACTATCCCAATATGAGTTAAATTATATAATTTTCTCAATTCCTGAAGATTTCCATTATAAACGCCATCAGCTGAAGAAATGATGCCAAACACAAATAATATAATAAATTGACGAATTTTAAATATTCTATCGGTGTGATGAGCAAGACTCACTCTTTCCAATATATTTCAACTCCTTGTTAATTATTATGCATGGAATAGTGTAACCAGAAAAATAATTAATTGGCGATGATAAATTTGCGAATGTGTTATTGTCGTTATGGATAATATAAGACTGATATGCATATTATTATTTCAATGTCCTTTTTATCAATCATGGATGGATCGAGCTAAGGAAATAGTACCAAAACAAGTTAGATAAAATTAATTTAAGAAACTACTGTAGCTCTGCCATGAATTGGATGAGCTAAAAGTATAGAGGCAAATGAACTTGGAAATAAGTAATCACAAACTGAGCTGGAAATAATAAGTACTAGCTTCTTATCGTTCCATTATATATGGATGAAATACGAGAATGAATAAATAAACGCCAAAATGAGCTAGTTATAACAATAAATTTAAACTGCTACTACTCTTTCATGCATAGAATGAAATGAAGATAGAACAATAGCAAGATAGTAAGATTACATTTTGCTTAGAGTCTCTGTTTACTCCATTATCGAAGAAATTAGTAATACAATAAGATATGGACAACTTTAAAAATTGAGATGGGTAAATGTTGATGCTGATGTAAATATATAAGACGGTTACAGTTTGATCGCTGATGCAATAGTGGCTGATCTTAGTTCATTTTGTGATAGTATACGAGTATTCTCAGGCAGTCGACCCTCATTACCGACATGAAAACGACTATAATCAGATGCACTTAATAATTCAGGCATACCAAATCTAGATTCGTTATCACTTCCACAATTATTGACAGTAGAACGGGTATCACTTACGTAACCAATAGATTGCTGATCATCTTGTTGAGGAGAAAAATAAGATTGAGGAATAGACTCATAGAAATGTCTAGAAACTCCATTGGATGGACTGTGGCCACGGCTACTGCAGTCAGTGTAACGATTATTCATGGTCGTTCTTGTAACTAAATCTGGATAGCTAGTAGTTGGGAAAGGAGACAAGCTGGGACTTGCTTCTTCATCACTCTGACTGAGTTCATTAACTTCATGGAGTGTTGGCCTGTAAGTTCGCTTATAATATTTCTTTTCCGGTGGATGCAAAGAAATATTCTGCTCGGGAACTCCTTCAGAGCCAGCATCATAATCGCTTGAACACGTCGTTTTAAGTGATACAACTGAATACTTATCACCATTGGAAAGATTTGGGGTAGGTGATGCAGAAGTGGGCGGCAGATGAAGACTCGTATCTCTCATACATGCCCTATCGCTGGGCCTTGCCATGGACTGATAACTAAAATTTAGATAATGGAAAGCAAAATTTCTATAAGAATAGATAATTCTGCCATTGCATAAAGTATAACGATGAAAGACTTACTCATAATTTGGGATCGTTCTTATACCCTCTCTGGCGGAGTCATTAACACGAACGGTATCTGCAAGTGGTGCTGATCTTGTTTGAATTACTGTTAAGAAATAAGATAAATTTAGGATTAGTATCTCTTAGCGATAATTTATCAACAATAGATTGAATTCTATGATAAAATGGGATAAAAAAAAATCAATATTTAGCTAGGACAATATCCAATACTAATAAACAACAATATTTAATGTTTATCAAGATGAAGGTATTACGATGTATAGCAATTTAAATGACTCATTGCGGTTAGAAATTGCGTATGCCAAATCCTATAATATCATTCAATAGCCGACGTATAAATGAAAGGTTGCTATAAATTTAGCTTAGTGATCGGAATGTATGTATTTGTTTGTTAAGTCATAATAAGTTAATTAAATTTATTTAGTCTACTTATTCATAACCCAAATTATCAACAATAATTTATAGCAAGAATTACGGTAAGTTATGTTTGGTCAGCATTAAATCCTAAAGTAAAATTTCGGTAAAGTCACCTTTAACATGACGGTTAACTCGACATTTTCGTCTCCGTACAAGAATAAATGCGGAAATACTTATGATCAAAATTGAGCCAATTATCAATCCAACAATTTCCTGGATCTGTAGGGCTCTTCGAGCTCCACTTATAGGTGGTGCCAAAGCTAAATATTCAATTTTTAAATAAGAGAAATTTATTATAACTATTCATTAATAAAATTAAATTTTTAGCAAGTCTATCAATTATTTACTTATGCTTTACCTAAAGTTCGAACTTCGACAATATTACTATTATCACTATTTCCAGCATCAGTAAATGCGATGACATAAATAAAGTAGACTTGATCTGGATTCAAGTTGCCAATCGTATACCTCTGATTGATATACAGTAAAGATACACATTGATGATCTTTTGCGTAAGAATACCAACAGATATTATAGCTACGCAAGATTCCTTGAATAACTCTAGGTTCAGACCATTTCACTTCAATAAACTGAGAATGGGTATTTACTAGTTTTAAAATTGGAGGGCTGGGAGCTAAAAAGAAAATAATTCTATTGGTCAGTCAACGGTAGATGATTCCATAATCATAGACTAGAATTAGACCATGTTAATAATAATATTAACTCTGCTATATAATATCTTAAACTACCTGCTTCGTCAGTTTCAAAGGTGATAGGTTGACTCCACGGGCCAGAACCTCCACTTGTTAAAGCTAGTACTTTAAATTGATATTTATTATATGGCAGTAACCCAGATACAACTGCTACTACTTGATTACCAGCAAGGCGTAGTTCTCCACGGATGTCTCCATCTATCTGGAAGTAAATAACCAGATATGTAATAATTCGAGTATAATTTTGAGGCTCAGGTTGCGGTGGTGACCATGTTATCGTTAGTACTTGGCTGGAACGATTAATGAGTCTTAGATCAGTTGGAGCCTTGGTAGGAGCTAATAGGTATAGATGTGAGAAAGATATAGATTGAATTCAATTTTGTAATTGTAGTTTAAAGCGGACGAACACAGCTGTACGCAGTATAACATATTACATATTTCATAACATTAGTAATCGCTAATTCCAGAAATCGGATCATATCCTTTACCTCCTTCTTTGGTACGAACTTGCTTTTCTACTGTTTTCGGAGAGATTCCTTTTGAATTATATGCTTGTATTGCAACGTTATAGTAGGTCAATGACTTCAGTTTAACCAGAACATAACTGCGTAATCCTTTATCGGTAATATTAAGATGCTGAGCTATACCCCCGGCGGCTCGATAAGTAATACGATAGCCGTGCAGAATACCATTTCTTTTTTTCAGAGCTGGTGGCTAAAATTATGAATGAGTACATGTTATTTATGCTATCAATTATATTTATATCTTTAGATATGCTATAAGTAGACATATTTTTTTATAATTTTATAGAGGAGGGAGTAATGGACATGCAATTGCTGATCCTTATTTAATAATTTACTACAAAACGTCTACATACCTCCCAACTAACACGAATACTTTGTGAGCTTAGCGATTCTAGATTAAGAGAGCTTGGCGGCTCACTCGGCGCTAGACAGAAAAACAAATTTGTGGTTATATAATGGTACTAAATCTTATTATTTTGACGTGGGCTACGTATAATTCTTGTTAAAAAAATTTACCTGCTTCTAGAGTATTGACAGTGATGGATTGGCTTCGCTTACTCGTACCAATGCTATTTACAGCCTGCATCGTTACGATATACTGAACGCCAGGATACAATGATTTGATAGTGGTATTCCACTTATCGGGAGAAGCCGATGAAAAGTAATCTACAGATTCAAGTTGACTTCGCATGATAATTTTGTATTCTGTTAAATCGCTATGGCCATAATATAATGGTTTAGACCATCTTAATATGATACTAGTAGAGGTTACGTTGAAGGATTGTAAATTACTTGGAGGCGACGGCTTAGCTGGTTGTTAAAAAGATACACAAAGGCTTTAGAAGAAATATCAAAGTAACACGGTACTATATAAACATTAGACAATCATCAATTTTATATACAATTAATTAGAATGATACCAATAATCATGGTCAATATTGAGTAAAATTATAAACGTAATATCTGACATGGATAAAAAAATTTATCGAGAGAACTTTTAATACCATTCTAAATATTTTATTCATTTTACTGCATTAGAGACGTGAGATAAAGCATTTTAACTCGATCAAGTACTGATATCCTAAAATTTCTATTACTCATTTGGATTATTTAATAGCAAGTAAGTAAGCTAACGAAAGAAGGCAGATGTCACGATTAATTCAAACCTAAATTCTTTCATCTAAATTATACCACATTTTACGCATATACCATTCATATTCTTCATTTATTACATACCAGTTAATCGCATATTAAATACCGTAGCTGAAATCAAGGACGCAATTATCTACAACGATTACTGCAACTCTAATATCAATAATTACCGGTATCCTAAACTGAACCGGAATCTATATTTACGAATATACGTAATACTCAATTTTTATATTTTCATATTTTATTATTTATTGGATTATTTCAAGTGCAGAATTGAAATTAAGAGTAAACCTTTTATTATTATAAAATAAACTTAAGTCATCCATAGAAAGGCAGCCATTGCTGATATAACGCTATACTTAACTGCTATACTACCTAGTAGGGCTTACTATTTATACCTTTTTAGAATTATGCGCGATTGGGTAACTAAAATTAATGGTTTAAACTCAATTGTGATTAATCTAAATCTTAATTTTATAATTATGTAAAGCAGGTAAAATTCTACCTACTTTGAACTATGAGGCCAGCCTGTCTGTTATCTACACCATACCCATTAGTAGCCTGGCAGGTATAACTGCCGTTATCTTCAACGACTGCTGGCATTATTTCAAGTTCGCTCTTGATATGGAACAATTTACCATCATTACCTTGATTGATAACACGATTGCGAATAACTATTCGCGAATGCTGGTACTGATTAATTTCTGTGTTATTCTTCCACCATTTAATTACAACTGTTTTATCGCCCTTTGCTGTACATGCTAAAGTTGCGAAATTATTAACAACGACAATTGTTTGTTTTGGCGGGCTAATAATTTCGGCTTTATCTGATGGGGATTAATAATAAAAGCGATCTATTATGAATATTTATACATTTATGAAAGGCTAAATGATAGATTAATTATCATGATTTGCAAATTAGTATTAGATAGACTTACGTCGTACTATAACTTGATAAGTTCCATTAGCGGTACCATATATATTAGCGGCTATGCAGACATAGATTCCTTGATCTTCTTGCTGAATACCATTAATAGTTAAATAGCCTTGAAGTCTATCTACTTGGTATTTACTTGTGTTATTATTGCTGATAGTAGTCAATATATCGGTACTAGGATTCTTTTTACTCCATGTAACATTAGGCTGAGGATAGCCTGATACTGTACAAACTAGTAGAGCTTTATTGCCAATGGCTACATTAACAATTTGTCTTAATGCTTGTTGTAGTTGTGGCTTAGCTATTTAGGAAAAAATATATATAAGAGAATTTCATTAATCATGAAATTACTCGACGTCTATGATTTTGTAGCTAATTATCAAATTAGCTATGAATAAACCAATATGGCCTCGAACAAAAGAAAACCCCGTTTACATATTTCTCTTTAACGTTGAGTATGGAAATCTATAGTAAAGGGGCCGAAAGGGAAAATATGCAGAAAGGATAGAGCAAAATGTATATCTGTAGGATGAAGGGAGCATTTACTGGAATAATAGTCGTCTACACTAGATTAGATTTGCTGTATGTATTTGCAATATGATCTCCAAAGAAGTATCACTATTTATTCCTACTTGCTATAAATCATTGAAAGCTTACTATTGTAAACAGAAAGGCAGTACCGAAAAATATTATACCAGATAAATAGATATAGCGCCATCTGAGGTAAGAGTTGACTAAATTACATTGAGGTTGTTATATAGTAACAAGGTGATCTTGAACAGAGATATTACAATTTGCTCCCGCCTTTCGTAACTATTAGAGTATCTCAATTCTGAATAATCATGTAGACTATACTATAAAATAGAGCAAATATTATTTTTTTTACCTTTCTAAATTGCATTTTTCTTTGAATTGATTGCTATAGATATGTTTTACAAACTGATTGTTTCAGATCATGTATACTTGAATCTTACCTTTAACTTTAAGATCGATCCTTTTCTGATTATAACCATGTTGATCGGATGCTACGCAGGTATAAATAGCTGAATCATTATAGTAAAGCTTT